TTGCAGCATGTTGCAAGCTGGTCGCGCATAGGGCTAGTGCGCGAGGGACTCGGATCGGAAAAACAAAAGCCGAGCAACACGAGTAGAGCAGAAAAAGGATCGATAAATCAATACAATCAATCATCATCCCTGTCACGGTATCCTCCCCGGATCCCAGACATAACCGTATCAGACGCGTACTGGAGTATTATTAGTGCACGTCTGACATAAACACAACACAACACAGACATAAACTTAAGCATAAACTGCCTTAACACTAACTAAACCTAGAACAGGCTTAATTTATACCTAAAGCGCTTAGACTTTTAAGCTAAGTATTTAATTACTAATTTCCTTCTAAACTTTTCTATTTCTTACATAATGTCTTATACTTACTATAATACCTTATGTAGTAATTAAACTAGACCTCTGTAAAGCTCTATAACCTTACTTGTACATAATTATAACATTACATTATATTAAAACTTTAGCTAAGAATAGCCTCTAAATCTAATCTAATAAGCTTAGTACTTGCATAACTTTAAGCTATTAAAGTAAGCTAAAAAGCTTTCTAAAAAGCACTTACTTTATAAAAAAGCTACTATGTTATTGTTACAATCCTTACTTCGGGAAAATGGTGTTCTTCCGAAGTACAACGGCCTATATGAGTATTAGCGAAGATAGGGGTAAGGACTTAGCTGGATCAGGTGTACAGTCTGTCGAGCAGAGTGAGGGATAGTCGGGGTTTAGGAGGCAGGCTGTGGTTTGTCCCTATAGCTGTATGGGTAGCTGGGTATTACTAGTTAGGTAGACAAGGGTTAGAGGTATATATATTGCAAAATATACAAGACAGCTTAATCCTCTTTAGAAAGGATTTAAGCTTCTTAGTTTATTATAAAGAATAAACTAAACATTAATTATAACTTTTAAACTATAGTTAAGATTAAGACTATATACATAGTAGTTACATGCTTGCATGTTTGCATGCTGTTTTCTTTTATAGCCTGCAAGCGCGCAAGCCTGCAATGTCTTATTAGACAATGCACTCTACTAGGCACCTATCTATTAGGTGGCGCTATTCCTCTTC